TGGAGAAATGATGGAAAAGAGGGATTTTACATTCCGTCCAACGGAACTATGTGCAAACTGAATGCGACACATATGAGCCATGGCATGTGACAAGAGCGGTTTGGACAGGGCTCATGAGTAACAGCCTCCCGACGTCGCACGGTGGATCGAGTCTTTGGAAGAAGTCGGACATGAAATTTTTGACAACAATAGTAAAATTTCACCTTTATCGCGTCACAATTTTAATTTTAAGGGGTGCTTTTCCATGAAAATTTTACGAGAAAACCAAATAAAACTACTTTTAAAACATCAACAGTTCATATTAATAAATATACACTGAAAAAAAGATTGGTAGAACTTACCATTCCTTCACGCAGTATTTCACACAGCGTGAATTCAGAGACAATTCTGCTAGAGGAAAGGTAAACGTTACTGTATGCTGGTACAGGTAACCACTCCTCTGGCATCAGAATCGACTTTGAATTCACGCTGTGTGAAATACAGCGTGGAGGAATGGTAAATTCTACCAATCTTTTTTTCTTGAGTGTATACGCTTTTTTAGTGTTTTGAAAGTATGTATGCAACCTCTCCCATTGACTCGATCCATCGTGCGCCGAGATTCTCGTTCCGGTCGCGGCCGCTGACTTCAATGACGCTTTATAATTCCCGTTTATTCTTACGGCCCGCGACTAAAGATCACACCCCTTCTTTCCCACCTATCTCTGGTTCCGTTATTCAGAAATATTCATATCTTTCCTGAAGAAAATAGGTATTTCATCGGGAAAAATCGGCAACCTTGGATTTTTCATCCTGCGTTTTTCCACAGGACGGCAGTTGAGGATGGTAATTGAGGAGACGGTGGTGAACTGGAATGGGTGCCCGGGAAGAGTGGAGCACGATCCTCTGGCAGGGAATCGAGTGCGGAGTCGGCAGGATAATTATTCATTCGCTCATTGAGACAACGAGGAGCACGAATCGCTTGATTCCAATCAGCGGAGAAGGGATTCTCGCAAATGAGGGTAGAAAGGGAAAGGGGAGGGGAGCCGCAGAGAAAGGAGAAAGGGGAGAGGGGAAAGGGGAGCCAAAGCGCAAACTCCTCCCGACTCCGGCGAGCCGAGGCGAAAGCGAAACACGCTTCAATTTTAACTTTTCCGAGGATCCTCCCTCCGCTCCCGTTTCCAGGTGAGAGGAGCATGGTAAATGCTAATGCCGCCAGGAGCAGGATCCTAGGATACGTAAATATGTTTAAATGAATCCTTTTCCTCGCTCCTTCCTTGTTTTCCCCATTTACATACCAGGCACCGCATTCTGGGATTTTAATACCACCCCCCCCTCCCTCATCATCTCCTGTGGCAATATTCCCCACTTCGCTCTTCTTTCTCACCGAAGAGGAATCATCTTTGCAAAGCGCGATTTTAATTTGATGTCAAGTAATTGGAAGTAACGCCAGTTCTTTTTAAGAATCTGGCGGAGGGATTCACTTGGCCCGCTTACCATACAGGATACGAATTAAAGCCGATTTCTAAAAATGGAAGCCAAAATTTCAGCTTTTGGCGGCAGTAGTCCCACGGCTTACAATGTCCTGTGCAGAGCAATATTGTGGTGTTTGAAGGCTGGCGGAAAGCGAGCAGTGATCCCGAAATCCTTCATAACGGCCGATAGGATAAAATTAATCATTTAAGGGCTTTAGATATGTATTACGCCGTCGGCGAAATTTCAAAAGTTGAAAATTAGAAACTCCACGAAAATCTGAGTTTCGTCGGCCAATCAGAGAAAATGTCCTTTTTTTTGTAGTATAAGGATTGAGATGACAATAATATTCATTTCAGAAGAAGAGAGAAAAGCGGGTTCGCCTTCAATTTTTGAGTATGCAACACGCACATCCCTGGGACACGAATAGTTGTATCAAAGCGCCACAATCAACTCAGTCCACTCCATGTAAAGCGGAAGTGCCTTCAATTTTTGAACATGCACCAAGCACACCCTTGGGACACGAATAGTTGTATCAAGGCGCCACAATCAACTCGGTGAAGTATTTGTAGGTTGAGGTAAGAACCGAATGAGTCAATGGCAAGGGTCGGAACTAGCACATTTTTTGTTAAAACATTATAACTACCTATCGAACTGAGAATGAAAAAACGCTTGGTGTTTGAGCGCATCTTAATATTTTTTGCTAAGCTGTAATATGAAATTATTAAAAACACGATTCTGTGACTTGCATCTGACCCATTCCCTTAAATCTTTCAGGCATTCTCCATAAATTGAACTCTTAACAGAGATGAGTGCACTACTCGCATGTATGTCATTTGGAGAACAGTATGGCTATATATTTTTTTTTCACTTTCCTTTTCATTTTCATGAAGGACATTGATTGCTACATATCATTTACAGGAAGAGGCAGAAATTCACAATCGAAGAATGTTAGAGAATAATTAAGTAAATATTTCTGCTTATATTTCTCTCAATTTTTTCAAAGCTGTACTTATGCGCCTTGTTCTCCAAGCCCTACATGAAACGGTTTATTCGTTTAATCAAAACGGTTACACTCTTTTTTTGAAATTTTGCGCGAATTTTCTTTATGACACGACGGAAATATCCTAAACTTCCCAATGTAATGTACGCATCCGATAATTAATCAATCAATGAAACCTCAGGTATAAAACTTTGATATTTTGCTGCATGCAATCAAGCTCTTTTATTTCTCGCACCTTCAATTTTGATCGGGGTTTTTTTTTTTTTTGGAATTTTTAACGATTTTTTGAATTTTCGTCCTCATAAAAACCCTGCCTATGCCTAACACCGAAGATACTACTGAAGTTGGATCATTGAAGGCAAAAGTCGGCTTGGCCCATCATGCGAGCGCTCTCCACTTGCAAGAACGAGGCGAGGACTCGTGCGTTCGAGAAGAGCAACCATCGGCAGAAAATGATTCAAAACCTTATTCGAGGTAAAAAAATTGATGCACGCTTTTGACGGTACTCTGACACCCTTTCTACGGAACAAGGTGGGAGGCACGCTGAGTAGGAGAGTAAGTTGGGCGTTTTCATCGCGCATCGGAGAGGTAAAATACAAGAAAACAAAGGGCCAGTATTGATAAAGATAGACTCTCCCCTTTTGAACCTCATCTAACGGGTTTTGGGGTTGCATTTCCGTTTTTTGATGATTCGCAACCTCCGCAAGGATCCCCAATCGGCCCGGGCTCCACGCGCCCCTACTCACGGAAGGCGCGCGCCGCGCCGCCTCACTTTATTGGCAACAGCTTGCAAACTTGACCTAGTCCCGGTAAAAACGGGTCTCGCGTGAGCCACCGGTTCAGTGGGTGAAAAAAATGTAAAAAAAAAAATATAGCTTACACGTAGAAAAATAGTCAGCTGGTTTTGTCTGGGTACCGCGATTCGTCACTCTCTGCACTCTCTCTCCTTCCAACAGTGTTTGAACGGTGCGCAAGCTTTTTTTCTTCTTCTTCTCCTCCCGGTATTTTTTTTAACTCTAGGCACTCTTTCACTCTCCCCCACTCCACCTTCCTTTTTGAATTGAAATCTAGCACACTTACACGTATTTTGTGAAGGGGCTTCAATGTTGGATTGCCAAATACAGGAGCGTGTTCTGTATGGGTCAAAACAAGACGTTTCCTTTGAAAGTTATTTTTTCCCAAAAAAAGTTTCCATCCAGAGCTACCGCCCCCAATTTTTGTTCAAATCATCTTCTTTTTAAATTTCGGGAACGATTTTGGACTAAAACCCATGAAAAATGGCTTCACCTAATAATTTAAGTGTTAAATCCATGGCCTTAAAAGTATTAAGATCTCAATTTGAAAGAGGACTTCAAGGGGTTTTGGAAATTTCAGGGTAAACAGCTTGGTTTCTCCTTTTTCAAAGACACCCTAAAACCCCCCTTTAACTTGGTATTTCGATATTTTTGAGGTCATCTATGAATTCAACCTTATAACTTCTATCGCGAGTTTCCTTCATAATCGTTTCCGAAATTAAGCAAAAATTATGATTTTCTTAATAATAGGGGGAGAGGAAGGGGTAGCTACGGCTGGGTTTTTTTGGGAAAAAAGGCTGTGAGGGGGAAGTCTTCTTTTCTTACTCAGAGAACACGCTCTTGCTGTCTGGCGATTGAATCGCGGGACTTCCTGTATAATACGGACAACAGTTTGCAATTAGGAACTACAATTTCTGGCTCAGCCGTAAAACACCTATGTGAGCAGGGAAAATAATGATACATAAATTGTTTCTAAATCGAACTAGAAATTAATTGTAGTGCCTAATTGCAATAAGTGGTCCGAAATCCACAATGGGTGTCCATGAATGGCGTTAGGAACTTTTTAAGTGAGAGGGGGGAGGGGATTGTTTGATGGAAAGGAGTTCTGTGGGGCGCTGAGGGGGTCTGTGGGGCTCCCCCAGTCGGGGTTTCCTACCTTAGCTGCGGGTGAGAGTATGCGGGTGGCCTCCTCGAGATAATTTAGAGTCGTCTCAGGTGCAATTTTGAGTTGGTGCACCGAAAAATCGATGTAATCACAATTTCAAGAACAGAAAAATTGTTACGCACTTGCTTAGCGGAGTCCCTCGCATTCCCTAAGAGGGCACCCCCCCCCCCCCCCCCCCCCCNATGTACCCTCCTCCCTCCTTACAGTTTCGTCCATGTTACTGTCTCTACTTTGATATTGAAATTAAATGAAAGAATCAACGAGGATACCGGATTAACAACCCTCTGTTGCTTTCTACGCATTAATGTGGATATTTAATTACTTAAGCTCATGGGTTTTGTCCTCCTAAGTAGCACACATAGCATGAGGATGAGAAACTGATAGCTTCACTGATAGGGGGTAAAAATTTTCTAGCTGGGTTCTTTTTTTCAAACGCTTCGAAACTTCGGAATGGATTGGCAGGTTGCGCCACCTATAAATTACTGACGGCTAAACTACGAACTACGGGTAGTACGTACCAGAGAGTAAGGAAGGTTTCCCGTCTATACTCTATGGTATTGGTATGCTGGTATGCACTGATAATAACTCGCCGCTTCGTCCTTGTTTGAGTGAGCACATGTTTGTTTACCAAAAGGCCCGTGAAATCTTGTTCTCTTGTCTTGTCAGTCCGTGAAGTTGTCTTTGATTTTCCTTTCATCGACGAGAATTTACGCGTGAGTCCTTTCCGTTTCCCGAACTCTCACGGATAATTTTGTCATCAGAAGGAAGTGGATTGATAAGGTATGTAGTTATTTACCCACTTGATTCTCGTTTTCTACTTCATGCCACGGAAAACTCTCAATCTCTCGGTATGTACTGAGCGTGCTTGATTTTGATAACTCTCTCCAGCACGTTGTTCCGTAAACGCTTTTTGTGTGCAAGTTGAGTGGGCTCGTATTTCCGTTCGCTACCCATATCTTTCATTTTCAATATCATCACTTATCTATGTACCTCGATCTTGATGAAGCAAGAGGTAACTGAATGTATGCAGGCAAGGACTACTTACTTACAGGTCATTGTTTAGGTCATGATCCTCTTGCAATTATTTTGGAATCCGACCTCTAAGTAGGATATTAGCTGGTGGTCTGACAGAAACTTACTAAATCATTTCTCTGAAGTCAATGTTGACCTTCACTACATAGTTCACATTTTGTGATTTTCCAAACGGGAGGTGCTGTACTTAGGTTATGCTGTACACATTGATTACGAAAGAGTCCTGTTCTGAAAATCAGACGATCTGAAACTAAAAATTGCTTTGACACTATGCAGGCTCATATCCTCTCCTAACTCGGAAGTGATGTAAAGGAACAGATAGTTTTTTATTTAATGAGGATGAGGGAGGTGAAACCCTCCATCATTACTCGCGAAGGATATGTATCAATAGATCTCTCTTGGTCTAAGGCTAATTGTTCAGCAGTTGTTTGCCTATACAAACCTCTTTTAACCCATGATTATCTGGTACAGACTTGCACTTGTTAGGCAGTCAGAAACTAAAGTTTTTTACCCCCTGACTTCATTGCCACTCGACATCTGAGCATTTCCCTCAGGACCGGCGATTGCTCTTTGTAGGGGATCCTAGATGTCTCTACATCAATATCAATTTTTCAGAATGTTGGCTGAGCTTTTGGTAAAACCAGGTCTGGACTAAGACATTCATCTAGAAATATGTCAAACTTATCTATGTAAGGGTGTTAGATATTAAAAGTACCTATCGATAAGTAAAAAACCTTACGAGCACCAACATATTTTTTCATCTTTTGCCTTCATATGCCGGTACCAAACTGTGGAGGGTTGAAAAGACAAATCTTGTTGAGAATTCAATATCTATATGCCTTTATTTTACAGGGAACCTCACACTCCCTATAAAGTGAAACATGAATGAGGGTCTAAGAATTTTTGCAGTGATATACTTCAGTCATTTTATGGATGGGGTTTGTGAGTTTTTTTTAGAAAAAAATTGAAATACCTAGCTGTTTCATATACTTCAAAATTTTGGGGGATGCTTCCCCTCTCTCATGCTTTTTCATTCATGTCTACACTTAGATAAAAAATTAAAGTTGATTTTATGTTTTTCTTTAGTAGGTATCATGGAAATTGTAAATTAGATTTTTAAAATATAATATTTTATTCAAAACAACAGTATCATCAAAGGTTATTCAATATAAAATGACAAGTTACTTACAAAAAATAAACATAAAAAAGTATTTCATCAACATTTGTACATACTTACAGGAGAAAGAATTTTTTGTTCAAAGCAGTATCATAGAAAGGAAGAAAAAAATGAACTTGAATGTACAAAACTAGGTACAACACAACAAATGTTTCAGACACATCAATATTCTTAAAAAATTTTAAAAAAAAGTGGGATAGACATTATTTCGTTGTTCATTGGTACTTAGATTCATAATTATTTTAAATCATAAATAATATCATTTTCCATTGATAGTGGCACATGACACTAAGGTTTTAGCCTCATTACTGTAAAGTCTAAAACAGGAAAGCTCAATCATTCTAAAAATCGTGAGGATCTTTTCGTCAACAGTTGGAAAATGAGCGCCTTGTGTTATCAAATAAAATTGATTCAAATCAAATTTTGAATCTGGTAACATAATGATCCGGCATGATCATTTATCTTATCATTTAAGGTATGTTCATGATAACCGATCGGAAATTTTTATTTTAAGGTAGTTCTTGGAAAATGCAAATGACTTCTCATGAGATGAGATAAAACAAATTACTAAGTAGTTTTCTTACTTGGCTTTGAGATTGAAATACACAAAACATGCTGTACAGGACTGTTAGTAAGTTTCAAATTGAATCATTGTTTAAAAAACAAATGAAAATTTTAAAATAAAATAAAATTCAGGTACTATTTAAATTTGTTCGAGAATTGTTTTTAATTTTAAATTAAGTAGTTGTATCAGATGTTTAGTAGGTAATCAGATAATTTGATCGATTTTAAGCCGTAGGTACTGCCCAAATTTTTTTCTAATAACAATCACAGTTGAAGGAAAAGAGGAATGGAATAATAGCGTATTTTCCTCCTGATAATACAACACTAAAAAGAAGCTTTAGAATAAGAAAAATAATGAGGAATGGAATTCGAAATAGGGAGGAGTGAACTTAACATCTGTCTCTCAAATACAGTTAAATAATCACTCAAAAAATTCTATAAAGACCTGTTACATTTGTTTACCCTGTTCTAACGACAAAGATTTTAACAAATATTTCGAATATTTATGTACGAAAAAACATAAAATATAGTCAGTGTAGCTTTATTAGTATACGCCTGTAATGAAACAATGCATCCAAAGTATTTCATGTTTTACACTTGCAGCTGACAAAATTATTACATATATTATCTTAGAAACTGAGCAAAAAATGTTACTTGAAAGAAAGCTACGTAAGATTCTACATTACAACCTGAGATTTTAGTCGAAAAGAAAAGAAAATAATAATTAAATAAATGGAGGAATACAATGATTAAAAAGCTCCACCACTGTAATCACTCCATGAGAACAATTGAAAATGCTGCCCTTCAAAAGTAAAACATTAAAGCACGATAAGTGGTAGAGATGTTGGAAAAAGATTCGATTGTGTGATTGTTTTTGAAGTCTGAGTTGTAATTATTTTCTAACTTAAAATTGTATTATTAATTACCTATCCCTGAGTTTCAACTTGAGTTTAATTTTACCTCCTCATGGAGGTGGTCACAGCCGACCACAATAACTCCGTCACCAAATATTCGTAGCTTTTAGAGTTTTTAAATTTTCGTTGCGGATACATCGGTCTTGTTTTTTCAGCACGGCAGTGACGGATAGTCACGCCACGTAAAGTGACTTGAACGAACGGAATCGGACTTTAAAAATATTTCGATGGTTAAACTAGATAAACACGACTGCCATAGCATAAGCGTATATTTCTTGTTTCGTCGCCTGGGTTTCGCACATAGTTTATCGATTCAGATAGCAAGCGGATCGTTTCAATATCGCCGTAGCGGAACGCCTGGATGTTAGGCAACTTTTCAAGCGTGTTGTTGGTTGCAGAGCCTCGCCTTGGACGGCGAAACTTTGCCGTCTGAAGAGGCATGAACCTAAATCCTGCAGGTCGAGCGTCAGTTATTTTGATAAATACGAGACCAGTCATAGATTACAATGTATCACATTTAGGAATGGAGGACAAGACCGCACTGCCGTACTAAAGAAGAACGCCGTATGAGCCCTCAGGCGTTGCCAAATTTCCCCCGATAAAATACGAATTTTCAGAGAAACTTGGGAATACTTGTCTTCCAATGTTTCAAAGGATTTTAAGTGCAATTTAATCTAATGTATCTGAAAATATCACTGGAGGATGTTCGTAAATTTCTGCAAAAATAAATCTTTTATCCCGAGAAATCTGGCAATCTACGAAAGTTCATACGGCGTTTTTCCTAAGCACGGCAGCATACGAGAAGCGCAAAAATCGAAGAAAGATCTAGTTCAGTATGACACCCTGCTAACGTGTGCCTACGTGGCCGTCACTGATCTTGAATTTTAATATATCAATGAGAGAAAAGAAAACAGTTGATTTCTTTGTCGTGTCGAGTAAGTGAAGGAAGTAAAAATAATAATAATAAACAACAATAACTTTTTCTTAGAAACAGTAAAATAAATCAGTCTTGTAATGCAACGTTGCCAAACTGTACTTTTCATTCTTAGCTATGCTTAAATCAGGGCCGTTGCCTTCGAAGGGCGTGATAGGGGGCAGTGCTCCGCGGGAAATTTTCGCCCCGTCGTCTGTAATTCTAGGGGCTCCAATTTAAATGAAAAATCGCCCCGTTCCCCAATTACAATGGCGGCCACGGTTTTGGCTAAGATATGTCTATTAGTCGATATAGTAGCTGAGACACAACAAACTTCTTAGACTAAGGAATGGTATGGCACTGTGTTTATAAAAAAGTAAAAATCGAAGTATACATTTCGTTGTGAGGAGCCAAGGATCGTGAGACTCTCATTCGACCCGTGGAAGTACTCGATGAGAGTCGAGAGAGAGTTCACACGACCAATTGATTGAATATGATTCACAGATACAAATATAAATGTTATGAGGTATCGATAAAAATAAATAAAAATATTCATATTGGCCCGAATCCCTGATAAAAAGAATTATGATAACCAGACAGGGTGCGAATTTAAGCATCATGATTTATGTGGTCTTATCGAAATTTTACGTATCTAGAACACGACTTATTTAGGACTGGTCACTAAAAATGGAATTGTCCGCTCACAAGAAAAACAAGATTCTGCTTAAATCATATTGCGCACTACGAAAGATTTGGCAGGCCTCTCAATGTCACTCAAAGTGTAAATAACGTGCAATAGCTGAGCCGAAGCGATGATATTAAGGTTGGTATATTTTCCTGCCAGAAAGGCTGTCACGTTAACGCTTATAGTAATTCAACTAAAGAAGATTATTGCTCTCTATATGAGCGGGAAGTTGGACCTTATGCATTATCCTCCATTGGTATCTTGGCAATGGGGAAGCTTTTACTTCCGGGACTCTAACATTCAACTGTTGACTTACCTACCAGGTGGATGGTGAACAACTTGCCGGGTATTTCGTTTCTCAAACATACCGAAGTTTGGCACACTTGTTTGGCTTATTGCGTCACCCGAGGCTCATCATCCATCCAGTATGTAAGTCAACAGCGAATAAAGGATGGTGACTGTCGCTGCCTTACAATTATCGTCTGTAAGGAAGTTCTGAGCCCCCCCCCCCCCAAAAAAAAAAGTTTCCGCCCGCCGCCAAGAGGCCAGTGGAGGATCTCTCTTTGTCTCTGGTTAGGAGTTATTTTCGGTAATATTCGTTGCAGAAAGCGCGAGCTTTTATTTTCACGAGAAAACATAGAGGATAATGCTTAATTTCGGCCTTTGTCCGGGAATGCATCGAGAGTATTGTGGAAGAACTAAAGGAGAGAAGACTAGGAGGCTTGACTGGTGGTGAGGAAATGCCTACGGAACTTGGGATGCAAGTACTCTAACCTAGCGTCGTGTTCCATGTCCTCGTCGCTAGGGGGCGTGGCGGACCTCGGGGAGTCGCCTATACTGGAGTTGGAGTTGGTGTTCTGTGGCAAAGTCCTCGGGCGCCGGACGGAGAGGTCCTCGGGCTCGGTCTGCTCGGGCAGAGGAAGAGGGAGCGGCAGCACCAGCGACGGGAGAAGGAGTCTGGGCGGGACGGGCGACGAGGGCGACGCCGGGAACCTGATGACCCTCCGGATGTCCCTGGACTTGCGCTCCCGGATCTTCTTCTGCGAGACGGAGTTGTTGTTGAAGATGAGCCGCTCCTCCTCGAGCTCCTCCTCGTCCTTCTCCAGGTCGGAGAGCATCTCCTCGTCCTTGCCCAGGAGGAAGCGGCTCGGGTTGTGCGGGCACTTGTGGTGCATGAGATGGTGCCGCCGCCTGAACTTGCCGCGGCAGAGCTCGCACTCGAAGGGCTTCTCGCCTTTGTGGATGAGCATGTGGGCTTTGAGCTGGTTCGAGTCGGAGAAGCGGGAGGAGCAGAGCTCGCAGGCGTAGGGGCGCTCGCCGGTGTGGACCCGGAGGTGCCGCCGGAGGTTGGCCACCTGCACGAAGTTGCGGTCGCAGTGGTCGCAGCGGTAGGGCTTTTCGCCCGTGTGGAGCCGCATGTGCGTCTTGAGGTGGTGGTCCCGGGTGAAGCGCTTCTGGCACTGCGGGCACTCGAACGGCTTTTCCCCGGTGTGGGTCCGCTCGTGGTTCTGGAGGACGTGCTTGTAGCCGAAGGAGCGCTTGCAGATCCCGCAGGTGAAGACTTTGTCCCGGGAGTCGAGGCTGCTCGAGGGGCGGCCCACCGAGCTCCCGACCTCGGCCGAGCCGTTGGAGCCGTTCGACTGCGGCGACGAGCCCGATGTTGGCGGTGACAGTGGACCCGATCCTATCTCCTCGCCCATCTGAAACATACAACGAGTTCTTTTAGCATACCCGTATTTACCATTGGATCAGGGTTCCCGCCCGTCTTAAAAACTCGGAAAGTCAGGAATATTTTCACACATCTACCAATCATCAAATGGACCACATCTTTGCGTTAAGAGACCAATATTTCTGGCTCATTTCAGAAACAACATATCGTCACCTTCCGGGCAAAGTATCACAAGCGCCATGCGACGTTTCAAAATTTCCGCCGTCATTTTATTTTTTTACAGAGAAATTGTTCAACGAAGCTGTCCAAAAATTTCACTGAATTTTCTTTGTGCTGCCAATAAAATTCAGTGAAATTTTCAAACAAATTCAACCAAAACTTTCTTTGTAAAAAAATAAAATGGCGGCGGAAATTTTGAAACGTCGCATGGCGCTTGTGATACTTTGCCCGGAAGGTGACGATATATGCCATAGGTTTCCCTCTGCAGGAAGGTGCTTTTATGGGAAAGCCAGAAATAGTGATTCCTTATTGCAAAATGTAATCCAAATATATCATTGATCTTCCGACTGTTAACCCTTTCTGGTCATTTTAAAACTTGTCGTCTTTCAGCCAGTTACTTATTATTTTTTGCTAATCTACGAGCTGGAACCATTAAAATACAATTCTTTGACCAGCGCATTTGATCGATTGTCTCTGTCACTGGAGAATAGAATGACACGAACCCATAATAACATTTCATTATACCTCTCTAATAATTTTCATTATTATGATGATAATTTTTTGTTATGCGACACGGAAAGGAGATCTTGTGGTTTTTTCCCCTTGCCTTTTCAAAATATGATTATCATGACGAAAAAAATTATTTTTGAGGAAGTCAAATTTTATCATGCATAGGTTCATTCCGCTTCTCCCCGAAAATGACTGAATTTTGAAAGCTCTCACATGCAATTTGAGTCAATTTCTACATGAATAAGTACCAAATACAAACGTCATTTATTCTCCCCCTTTTTTCTTTCTTCCCGCTATCTCTCTCCTTTGCTTTCGGGTGAAGGGGGAGGGGGGCACTTTGGGTCCGTCTGTGTTCCAGTATGAATCAAGATGTTATATTGTCAGTCTTATATTACAGGCTTGGAGGGCAAGGCGCGTGAATGCAGTTTTTGAAAAGATCGAGACATATTAATGATCTCAAGTAAAACTAGTCCGAATGGATATTTTGTGAAAAATTCCAAAGTCCAATTTGTAAGCATCAAAAAATCAGTTTGAACTTTCTTTCCGTCATCAGGATCCATGTAATTTCGAAACTTTAAACAGGCATTTCTCGAAATAGCAAAAAGTGCACTTATGCGCCTTTTCCTCTAAGCCCCTCATTTGCTTTTTTGTCACTCACCTCATCTTTAAGTTTTCCTTTGGACGCATGATTGTTGTTATTGTGTTCGTTGATTTGATTGGTTGACGAAACCACAGGTTGGCTCTTGTGGGAGCGCTTCTTCGTTGAGTGTGGTGGAGTGTATCCGAACAGTTGATTGCCGAATACATTTGGACTAGAAGGGTTGATTAGGAGGGGGCTCATGAGGCTCGAAGGGAACAAGGGCGAGCCTAGGAGCGCCGGGAAGTTCTGCAACACGCTCGGATTATTTATGTTGTTGTTTTGGTTTCGAAGTTTCCCTGAATCCTTGGCGAGCACCTCTTGTAATGACTCGCGCATTATGCCCGCGTATTTTTCCCGCTGCGCCAACTCCACCCCAGATAGTGCTGAAACATAACAACGGGAAAATATTTCATTAGCGCATAGAATATTTTAGGCATACGTAATATACACTGGAAAAAAATCGCTATGGAGTACAACTCGACGTGTTCAACGCATGTTGTTCGGTTAATGGAGGTCAATATATCTGATACAATTCTGATTAAACCAACCATATTTTCACTTTATTTTATCCCACATGACCTTTAGAACACTACTTGTACCGTTTGTGACAAGGGAGCAATTCGAATCGACCTTTCTACAGTGAGAGGACTTTTTTTAAGTATATCCTCTCGCTCGGTTCGACAGAAACATAGTAGTTTTCAAAAATAATCTTTCAGCCCAAAGCGCGTGTATTTAACTATATTTCTTACGATGTTATTCCCCTGTAAAAATTTACTATATGAGGAAAAAAGAAAGATAGAAACAGATTTTGCCAAGCTCACTTTAACCATAATTGGGTAGCTCGTCGAAAAAGGGGATCTAGTGACACAAGCTTGAAAGGAAGCAAAATGGAGATCCATTTTGCTTAAGTTCCATTGATTTCTCCATAAGGCTCAATGTAGAAACAAAATTTTAGTCAAATTTTCATACTCTAAAAACTTTTTGCGGTTTCCAAATTTTCAACAAGAAGAAAACTTTCCTTAGAGGAGCTGTAAACCACCCTTATTTCATTTTCTTACTGTGAAAAATTTCACAAGATTCTCTTTTGCTAAATTCTTTTCGTTCTTATAATTATGTTTATTTGACAACTTTGTTCTCGACTACAAGGTAATGCTTTATTCTGAGCCTAGTACGCAAAAATTTAACTCTACATACTAAATACATATTTCTAAAAGACGACTCTGACAGCCACGCAAAGACAATCTCTAGCCCAGCTAGATCAAGACTTGGCGTATAACCGGGCCTTTTGACGCACACGGCGCGTGAAGCGCCTTAAGGCCGATCGAATACCTCAAGCGTTACTTCCACACGACCAGAACCTGTGTCTTGGTGACTTTAATTAGTGAAAATCACGGAAAGATTTAATTTATTGTATAAATATTTTCTAGACTGTAACCTCCGCGCCTTTCACCTTTTAAGAAAATAGGACTTTCAATTCTCTTCCTCTTTTTTTCCGATGAACGTATTTATTCTCAGTACTGAAATCGATATCTACTTAACCGATTCAACGGAACTGTTGAAGTAGCTAAGTTTGTCAATCCCAGTCGTCCCTCACGCTGATCCCAAATGTTTTCACACGAAAAAATATTGCATACAGCTTACTCACTTTAAATTGTATGTATGAAAAATGAAGACTGCGCGACTGTGGTTTATAAAATTTATAAATCAGTGGTTCTTTAAATTCTCTTCTCTTAGAATTTTTAAACGCAAACAAGCTATCTCTGTTGAAAGAAAACATTATAATTCAGAGAGCACGAAAATATCGTAGAAAAATCCTCTGCAAAAGAAGTACCAGTTACTCATAAAATATTAGGTAAAATAATCTGATAAGGAAACAGGAAATTAGACAATAAATAAGTATTAAACATAATAGATGTATATATTGTTCCTATGGTTGTAGGCTGTCAAGAGGTAACGTATACAAAACAGAGATTTTATTATTTTTCTTCATTCGAGAGTAATGTATTTAGTTAGAAGACTCCCATCACTGCATTAGGAAATCCAACAGTCTTCAGTTTTTATAGAGGGTTGGGAATTTTTTTTATTCACACGCCCTATATTCTGAGGTATTGGACAACGAGGGCCCCCTGACCGCTTTGCAGTCCAACCCCCCGAGGGCTCGAGGCGTCATGCGTCACGCATTACTTTTACGATTCCAGGTATACTACAGAGTACAATACTGTCATTAAAACTTTCTGAAAATTTGTTTAAATAAAAAACTTTCTGAAATTTTGTTCAAATAAACAACTTTGCACGGCTAAAAGCTGCAGGTGAGGAGTTGAAGGACTCTGAAAGCCGAAACGAAGAATCCGGATCGTAACCACTAGAGCCCCTTTATAGAGAGAGTTGAGACAACGCTGCTTCTGGATGTCACAAACGGGAATAAAGATTACACCAATCGGAGGTTTTCTGTAATCTTTGATCAACCCATTTCCGTAATCCTATCTCCGTTCCCTCTCTCATTCCATTTGATCCCTCGGTCCACTCCAATTTAAAATCTTTGCAATTGGTGAAAATGAAATCTTTATTCCCGTTTGTGAAGGCTCATTGCGAAGGCCTAAAATCGTTGTTTGCCTCACGAAAAAACGTAACTAAATTTCAATGTTGCCAAATTTCCCTTCGTAAATTGCATTTTAACCAGAAACATCTTGTTCATTTCTAACTGAAAATTTCATTGATTTTTCTTCCGATTTCACGCAAAAATCAGAAGAATTTGGATAAAAATTGCACACTTACATTTTTGTAAAATAAATTAATCTTTGGAGTCAATTTGGCAACCTTGGATTGGAGTTACGTTCCTTCGTGCGGGAGACTACGAAATATGGGAACTAATTAAAAATTGATTCGCATTGTCTTTACGCTCACAATCAGTATAAAGGGACTCTAGTAAGCGCGAACTCGGGTGATCTGCTGAAGGGGTCGGACTAGGCCAGTCGCGGACAGTACATAGGGTGCGGGTGCGGACACGGACGGTATGATGGCGTCATGGGGTTGGCAGGAGGAACCGAGACAGGAACGAGTAGGTGGAGAATGAGGGGGAGGGAGGAGAGCCGATGGGGGCCACGAACGCAATAATGCGGAGAAATTGCAACGGATAATGAGAGGAGGATTCGGCACTGGGGGCACTCTGGATGGGGTGTGGATTCTGAAACAAAACCCAGCGGCCATCCATTTCGTATCCCCCATTCCCCCCTCCGCCCTTACCCCGGAGGATGACGTCATCTTTCGAGGTGGTCGCAGGAGTATGATATGAACAGGAAGCTCGGGCTCCACAACTTGTCACTGGCCACTCAACCTTTCGCCTCCTCCGCCCTTTCTGTCTGACGCTGCTGGGAGCTCTCCTGTCCAGTGCTGAGCAAGAACGTCGTATCGGACTCCCGGCGTTGCCTAATTTCTTACGATAAAATACGCTTTTTTCGAATAATTTGTCAATATATCTCCCCAAGTTTACAGAGTACGCCCACACGCCCCCAAAGCGCCTCGCGCGCCTTTGACGTTATTCGTTACGCCTTACTCTTATAATTTTATACTGTAGAGTATTCCATTAGGTTTGCAGTTTGAGCTAAAGGATCTGAAAATTTTACAGTACATTAGAGTCTCGATTATCCGCGATAACTGGGACCGGAGATACCGCGGATAATCGAAAATCGCGGAGAATCCGAATCTACGCAAGACGGCCGGAAAAATTCATCGGAAAGACTGCATTTTAAAGGAATCAGCAAAGACACGTACCATGAATTAGAAAATAATATAATTATTAACTAAGAATCAATAAACGTTACCTGTTACACAAATTATCAGTTAACTCTCAGGTAACAATTGAGGCCTGCACGTGCGCGTACAAATGGAAAGATGGTTTTTCCAAAGAGGAGAGGAATGACCCCGAATGTCTCCGGAAAAATTTTCTCTCTCGAAAAAGTAAAAAAAGTCCGCTCCACAGACCGCAGATAATCCGAATCACGGATAACCGAGGCGCCGAGGCGCGGATAATCGAGACTCTACTTTAATCGCGGCAACGTCCTAATCTTAAAATGGCGATTTTTCTCAGCACGACAGAAATCCCTCTGATTACGGCAAAAGTAGGCGTTTCTTCAACTTAAATACCTAATTATTCTTTGAATAGTTCAGGTGGAATACAATATCGATGGATCGATAGATGCGGTAATTCGGTCGACTTGATGTATCAACCTCTGAACGATTCATCCAGTTTAGCAGAGAGGTATCAAGTTTTGTAGAAAACAAGGGGCTTGCTTGTTTTAGGATTTCTGTTTTATTTCTCATGATAGAAAGTTTGTGTTTTGGAATTTTAATTTCAATGAACTTTTGAAGTTTTCTTTATTCGATTAAGTATGAACAAAAAAGTCTAATATGTCGACAAAATCAAGTTTTAAAACTTTTTTGTTTTAATCTGGTTTCCCTGTCCGGAATTAAAAAGGAGTCAAATCAACTAAGAAAAAGGAACCAAGTCCACAAGTAGTTGGTTCCTTTTATATTTTCTTGTGGAGAAATTAGTTCCCCGAAAAGAACGAACTGCATAGTAATGCTTATAAAATCCTTCAAGCAACCAACGAGTATAACTAGCGTGTTTGCCAAAAATAATTGGTTCTCTTGTCTATCAGGAGACCATGGACACAAGCGTAAAACAGGACGTAATAAGAAAATGACGTGGTAAGTCAACGTAACCTCTCCAACATTCGAATTGCCAGTATATTTTGAAAGCCCTAAGTTTTATGAATTTGAAGCTATGATGACAATAAATCGAATGACAGATCGTCCTGAGCTCCTTTCTGTTATGACCCCTTTGTTTAAATAATATCGGAAGAAAAGTTTTGAGCTTTCGAATTGGAGTCCTTCGTTTGGATGCATGAAATATTTACTTCTACTCGGCGAAGTTCTTTCAAAGGCCATGCCATCGCTGACGTGCACCTAACGTTTAGTCATTATATGATTTCAGTTGGTGCCTCTCTAGGCAAAAGCTTGTGTCTAGAAAGCAGTAACGTTATAAACTGTATGGGAAGACACACTTGCAGCCATACAGGGTGTCTCCGAGTTAAACGGCCAGCATGAACGAGCGTGTTCTATAGGTCAGAATGAGAATTTTTTCTGCTGTCAAGGTATCAAACAGTGCCTTCAGTTGGAGCCGCAGCCCCTAAAATTTTCGGGAAAATCCTAATGGACCACTAGACAAGGTACGAATTTCAGAATTCTGATGCATGTTCCTTAACTAAAATTTCACGTAGAACACGATGCGCACAACGAATATTACCGAAATCAACTCCTTCCAAAGATATTAACGATTCTTGGTGCGTGAATTCAAACCGCCCGCTCATTAAAACTCAATGCT